TAACATAGCATTTCCTATTTTAAACCATCAGTACCCATCTCTAGAACTTTTTCAACATCCCAGCCTCAGCCTTATGTTTTTAAGTTGGTGCCTGATGTATGGCTAAATTTCCCAGGCTAGGTTTGAATTCTCAGCCTCCTAGACTGCTGGGATTGTAGGTGTGTGCCACCGTACCTGAGATATATATATTTGGTACTGGAAATAGAATTGAACTCAAGACTTTGTGGTTGCCAGGCAGGTGCTTATGCCACTGAGCCATATCCCTGGCCCTCAGTGGCTATTTTGGTGAGCTGCTGAGGTGTTTTCCACAGTGGCTACACCATTTCACATTCCCACCAGCAGTGCAAGAGGGCCAGTTCCTCCCAGTCTTGCCCAGACTTGTTTTTGTGGTAGCCATCCTGGTGGGTGTGAAGTGGCGTCTCATCATGGTTTTGATGTGCATTTCGGTAATGACTAATGATACTAAGCATCTTTTCATTATGTTTATGAGCTATTTTGTATACCATCTTTGGAAAAAATGTCTTTTCCAGTCCTTTGTCTTTTCCCCCTCCTAAAATTAGGTTGTTTGTGTTTTTTTGTTTTGGTTTGGTGTGGAGTTTTAGGAGTTCTTTATGTGTTCTGTATACAAATCTTTTAAAATTACTTTTTTTTTTTTTTTTTTTTTTTTTGTGTGTGTGTGTGTGTGTGTGGAACCAGGGATTGAACTCAGACCCTTGCACTTGCCAGGGAATTGCTTATTCTACTGAGCCATCTCCCCGGCCCCCATAATTTCATTTTTTTTGTCTTTTTAAAATTTTATTTTTATACAGTTTTTGAATACTTTATCATGTTCATTTTACTTTTGTAGTTTTGTTATCCCTTCTTAAAGAAATATATTTTTAAACTACAGTGCTAATAACATTTTGAGATTAAAGAACTTTTCCATAAAGAACTGTTGAGACCTCACCCTGATGTATATACAGCCAGGTCCATTCTATTCTGTGTGTGTGTGTGTGTGTGTGTGTGTTACCGGGGATTGAACTCAGGACCCTGCGCTTACCAGGCAAGTGCTTATTTTACTGAGCTATCTCCCTGGGCCCTCCATTCTATTCTTGTGCTGCAGCCTTGGAAAATTGTGGGTGATTTTGTGGATGATGTCAGAGCTTGGTCCTGATGGGGCTGGAGGTTTGGCCCCCCCGTGAGTAACCTGACTTTGTGTTTTGGCCACAAGGAAGGATGGCTAAGAATAATGTTTCTGAAAACCCTCTCATGGCTGACTTGGAGGCAGGCAACCCTGGTTTCTGAACCTGAATTTTCTTGTCCTGGGGCAGCACTGATACTTTCTTTGTTTGAGTGACATGGGTGCACTTCTGGCTGGTGATTGTAGATGATAACTTAAAGTGCCCACTTAAAAGATGACCTAGCAGAGGAACTGCACGAGGAGCGAGACAAACTGAGACAACCAGAGGCTGTCCGGAGCGATCCTCGGGCAGCAGTGTGATAGGATACATGTCATGTGTGGATGAGTTTGTGGCCTCCAGAAAACTTTCTGCTTCTAGCTACGATCTTAAATCAACCCTGTGTCTCATGACATTACCTGGGGCTAAAGTCACTGAATGTTTCTGATCTTGGTTCCCTGGCCTCTTGAACACAGTGGGATCTGATCCACAAACTGACTGTGAAGGGGCCCTCCCTCCTGACACCAAACCAGAACGCTGCGTGCAAGTCTGATCAGTCATACCACCGCGTGTCAGAGGAAGTAAACCAAGTGCCCCACTGCAGCCACTTGGAACCTGCCCTTGCTCCGGTCAGGGATTTTTCTTATCAGGTCATCGCCCCAGCTAGCTTCTAGAAGCTGTCTCTTTCCTAATGCTCTTTTTTTCCCCTTTCCCCACAGTAGCTTTCACCAGCCGCTCTGGGCAAGAGTTGGCCTCGCTTGGGACTGATAACCACGACTTCAGCGTATTGAGCGGGGAACCCGTCCAGGTAAAACACTTGCCCACCTGTCTGAGTAGCACCCAGAGCTGCAGACTGCCTGATCAGGACAGGAGGAGGGTGTTCTCTGGGCATGCTCAGATGCTGCTGCCCAGCCGGCCTCAGTTGCCATGGCTGTGGAGCCAAGCGCATCCCTCAGAGCAGGTGGAGTAGCGCCCCGCTGCCCAGCTGCGAGCATGAGGGCTGACCTAAAGCAGGAGTCCATGAGAGCCGCCTGCCTGGGCAGCGTCCAGCCACTGCTCTTAGTCCTTTGGATTCCCCCGCTCCACCCTCTTCTCTTCCCTTCTTTCCGCTATTATCCTGGTTACCTCCAAGTGAAGCCCATTCAGTTGCAGGACTGCCGGTCCCACCTCTGCAAGGTGAACTTAGGAGTGTACCCAGCCCTCTTTCCCTCCTTTCCTTTTCTCTGTCTGTCTGTCTGTCTGTCTGTCTCCTTCCCCTCTCCCCACCTCTTCCACTTCCCCTCCGCCCTCCCCCAGGTATTAAACTGAGAGCCTTAGCACTGAACTACACTCCAGCCCACTTTTTATTTTGAGACCTGTTCTCACGACTTACCCAGGCTGGCCTTGAATTTGCTATCCCTTTTTCTTCAGTCTCCCGGAATGCTGGAATTGCTGCTGTATACACATAGCTTTTTTAATTTTCTTAATACCTAATATAACTATATGACAAAATTTTTTTTAAATACTAGTACACATCTGTAATCATAGCTGCTTGGAAGGCTGAGGCAGGAGGTTTGCCTGGGCAATCCTATCTCAAAATTTTAAAAGAGTTTTTAAAGAGCTGGGAATGCAGCTTACTTGTAGAGTGATTGTATAGTGTGCACAAGGCCCGGGGTCCACCATACTGCTAAATAAACAGTGAATCTCCTTTCATTTGTCTCCATCTATTTGCCTAAAGCCCTGTCTGCTCTTAAAACAGACATAGATAACTACGGTTTGCAGGTCTTTTTCCTCTAGCGTTTACTTCTGTATGTTAGATATTTATTTACATCATATGTGTTTAGAAAGGTACGAGGGCTGGGGAGATAGCTCAGTAGAATAAGTGCTTGCCTGGGGGCCGGGGAGATGGCTCAGTAGAATAAGTGCTTCCCTGTTAAGGGCAAGGGCCTGAGTTTAATCCCCGGTCCCACAAAAAAAAATAAATAAATAAATAAAGTAAAAAATAAAAAAAATAATAATAAAAAAAATGTTAAGTGCTTGCCTGGCAAGCACAAGGTCCTGAGTTCAGTCCCTAGTGCTATAAAAAAGAAAGAAAGAAAATAGAATGCTGAGGATGTAGCTCAGCAACATGAGCACCTGCCTGGGGGAAGTACAACATCCTGAGTTCAATCCCCAGTACCAAAAAACAGAGTGCAGACCCTGCCTTTGTAGGGGTCAGGGAGATGGCTCAGTAGAATAAGCACTTCCCAGGCAAGCACAAGGGCCTGAGTTCAATCCCCAGTTTGGAAAAAAAAAAAAAGTAGGTTGTACAATTTGAGTATATATAGATATAAGAAGACTCTTATGCAAAAGGTAATGTAGTATTTACATGTCTGTACCTTTCTTTTTGTACATAACACTGTATCAGTACATCTTTCCTCTCCCCACAGCCATTACTTTCTTGTCTTCCCCATCTTTGTTGTATTAAGAAAATCTGAACATGTGGTCTTAATCTTCCTATGCTCTTACACAAAAGATGGAATTGTGCCTGGCACAGAAGCCCCACGTATTTGTTGATAAAATTCTAGGCTATATGAAGTGGTTTTCCCCTTGATGTTTTCATTTAACAGTACATATCAAAAGAGCTTTCATTGCCAGCACACAGAGGCTCCTTATTTCTTGTTTGGAGCTGCATGCTAGTCTACCACGTGGATGCGCTGTAGTGTGTGGTCCTCCTCTATACGTGCGCCCTTAGATCATTTCCAGAGTTCCTCGGGCGGCAGGTCCGTCTGTGTCCTCATTCACCCTAAATTCTGGTAGGAGCTCCAGCTCCTTCCACATCGAGATGAAGGGGTATTCTGTCCTTGCAGGAAAACAAAGCTCTGAAGACCTCCTCATCCAAACATCTCTTGCGAAGACGCAAGAGAGAATGGGTGGTCCCACCAATATCTGTCCCTGAGAATGGCAAGGGTCCCTACCCCCAGAGACTACATCAGGTATGATGGTGGCTTTCCCCTGGGAGTCATGGGTAGCTACAGGGAGCCCATCCAAAGGCCAGGCCCGACCACATAGCTCAGTGGATTAAAGTGCCTGCTTAGGCAGACACAAGGGCTAGGGGCTCCATCCCCAGAATGCTATGCCAGCCCTGCCCCCAGGGCGCTCTGAGATGGGTAGTTAAGACTGGGTGTGGTGGGCCAGGGCTCAGTGGAATAAGCATTACCCTGTCAAGCACAAGGGCCTGAATTCAATCCCTGGTTGGGGGTGGGGGGGAGATATTGGTAAAAGAAGTGAAACGAAATTGTTTGATCCAGGGAAGTGGCTCAGTGGAATAAG